TGTTCTGCAACATTATTCACTCTCAAGTGGTGCACAGCAGCTCAGTGGCATGCGATGGCATGGTGCCTTACAGAGTGCACAGATCCAATGTGGATTCAATGTGCATGCTCTAGTACAATAGAAGCACTTTGTCAAGTTTCTGCTGTGAAACATGAGCTAATTAAGTGCCATGCTCTGTGTAACTTAGTTTGGTATCTGTGATAAACAGGATTGTATCTGCTATGTGCCAACTGCTGCTAGGCCTCTGTTTTTGGGGCCCTGGGCAGCCTGGTCTGGTATTAAATGGGGAGGTTGGTGGCCCTGCATGTGGCAGGGGGTTGGAGATTCATGATCCTTGATGTCCCTTCCAACCCTGGCCATTCTGTGAGTTCATTGTTGATGGGTATTAAGGCCAATGGAGGCAGCTCCTCCTCAACTCAGCTGAAACTGACAAATTTGCCAGCTGAAGAGCAGTGGGTTAGCAAAAAAAAGACTTGCTTACTCTGATTTGCTTATTTTGAGAAGAGAGGATCCTAGCTGTACCAGTCCCTCCTGGTTGATACCTCAGGCACAACTATGTTTCTGATGGTTTGCTGCCATGGGAGTTGCTGACACTTGGAAAATCAGCAGTAAAACTTTGGCAAAGGGTGTGTTCAAAACTAAGAGTACAAAAGGAGAATGCTATCCAAAATAGATCAAAAACTGGTGTGAAAGAGCTTCTATGCCAATTTTGTAAGTGATTTTTTTTCTTGTAAAAGGGCTTGTAGACAAGCTTAGGCCTCAAAGCACTGCTTGAAGAATTAGGACATGTCCCACTTCCCATTGTGTGCTGCTGCTCCTGTACTGGAAGCAGTCTTCTTCCCCCCCACTGTGCCTCTGGTTGCTGTCCTGCACCCAAAGGGATTTTGCCAACCCCTGGGACAACTCTCTTCCAGTAAAAATGGATGGTGCATGCTGAGCTCCAAGGGTGCAGGAGCTCCCTGCAAGGACTCCATCCCTGCAAGGACATCCCCCAGTTCTGTGGGGCTGAACCAATTACTGCAGCGCTGCCTGCTGGCTTGTGGCAGGAAGGTAATTGCAGGCTGGGTGTTGTGGGGGGGCTTCTCCTCTCCTCCTGCAGGCACAGAGCTGTTACTGTGGGGGCTTTGGAGATTGCAAATCCTACACCTTGCAGCCCAGGCTGAGTTCACAGGGACACAATTCACATTAGAATGAATCCTAAGATTCTATTTGCCACGTTGGGATTCCAGGAGTTTGTTCCCAACGCAGCTTGTGTTTCAATGGAAAAAAGTAAATCCAGCCAGAATAGTTTCCTATCTAATTTTAGAGAACATTCATCAAAACAAGCTCCATTATGTTTTATTTGGATACAGAATAAACTTCCAGAAAACAAATATGGCAAAGGGAGGTGGCTTGTCAAACTTATCTCTGCTGAGTTACTCCTTTTTCATTTCAGGCTTTCCAGCCATTGCAAGCATCAGTGTTTTGTCATCCAAAGGGCCTGGAAAAGCACCTCAGTCATAAGCAGCAGTGCAGGCAGGCCCACGGGGCTTCCCCATCACCTCACTGCTCCATGGAGAACAAACAGCTTCCTCAGACAACAGGAATGCAGGCAGACTCCAAATGCATCAGTACTGAGGCACTAAAAACATGCATGGAAAAGTTTGCACTACAGAGAAAGTGGCTTAGCATCATTAAAGCCATGATCTAAAGCTCAGCATTTTGTAGAGGATCTTGAACAGCTAATGCTGGACATTTTACCAAAATTACTTATTGGAACCCACCATCAGTAACTGCTGATATTAATTAAGGCAGAGCACAGCTGTGCCCCATGCTTGTGTTTAAAGCTCTTTGGAGCAGCAGGTGCTTCCCTGGGCAGGGTGAGTCACTCCAGGCTCTGGACTCACACTTCTCATTTCATGGGCTTGCATACAGACTTTGTCTTCTGAGCAGTGGCTTAATTTACAAGGAATAGGACAATGCAGAACTGCAAAATCCAACTTATCAACTCCTTTTTCAAAAGGACCATGAGAGATAAGAAACAACCTTCCTGAGAAGTTGAGACAAAGAACCAGACACAGATCATCTCACATCTTGCTGCAGTGTTCCCCATGCTCTAATAACCAACTGACATTAAGTACTTCTAGTATTGGGTGTTTAAAGCCCCTGGCTTAGTTTTGTTTTTTCCAGAATCACAGCAATTTCTCTTTTCATCCTTTGCCAGAGATTTAAGTATTGATTGCTCTTCTTAGCTTGCTTTGGATTAAATGCACGCAGGAGCACAATTCAGTTTTCTGCTATGGCCAAGTGCTCCCCATCCTGCCAGCTGGTAGGTGCACATCACTCCCATTCTGGGCCTTGAGAGCCACCTGGTGGAACACAACATACGAAATGCTCCTCCAAACTGAAGAGAACTCAAATACACACACTGTAAAGAGCCTTGCAATTAGATTGGGAAGCAGCAGCAGACTGCAGGTTTTGCTGACTCCTAGCAGAGAAGCCTCCAAGCAGCTGCTCTGTGTATATAAAACAGGTCTGCCCACAGCAAGTGCCTACCAGGGAAATCCAGGAACACAGCGGTGAAAGCAGTGATAAGAGGTAAATTCTTTGTTTTGTACTATAGATTCCAAACCCACAGCCATTACATGGATCTTACCATGCAATCTAGCATTTAAGAGCGTATTTCAACATAATTATTGCGTATCAAACATCACATTGGTTCAGAGGTGTTAACATAAGGCTCCTGTCCTCAGCACCAAGCTAAGCCACTACCAAGCGATGCCTTTAAGCTGCTGTTTCTGGCTGCACACTGTAACAGCACACCTGCTAAGAACTGCAGCAGCATTTTGTCCCAACTCACCAACAGCTTTCAATCAACCGTAGCCAGCCACTGCCACCTGATCCTCATCTACACGTCCTTACAAGTTCTGCTGTTTGCTTATATCCCTGGCTCTGAAACACCTGCTACGCAAAGCAGGCATTTTGGATTCTTCACCTCGTTTCTTCTCACTATGCTTTATTTCAGAAACATTAAGAACATCTCTTTTAAAGCAACTCAACAAGAGGCTGCAAAGAGGATCCACGAGACTGTTTCAAAACCAGAAAATGGTGCAAGCTCAGGCATTCCTAAATCACAGAATCACAGAATGGCCAGGGTTGGAAGGGACCTCAAGGACCATGAATCTCCAGCCCCCTGCCACATGCAGGGCCACCAACCTCCTCATTTAATGCTAGACCAGGCTGCCCAGGGCCCCATCCAACCTGGCCTTGAACACTTCCAGGGACGGGGCATCCACAGCCTCTCTGGGCAGCTGTTCCAGCACCTCACCACTCTCTCTGTAAAGAATTTCCCCCTGACATCCAACCTAAATCTCCCCTCCTTCAACTTTAAACCATTTCCCCTCATCCTGCAGTTCTCTATCCTTTCAAAGAGTTGAATGAATACTACTTAGAAAAAAGATAAAACTTGATGGAAGTTAAGCTTTTAGACTTTCTCAGACCAGACGGCATTTCCATCAAGCTTTTGGCTTACCTTCCTTTTTCACCTACTTAATTTCACCACAAGAAATAAAGGAAGCCTATAGGAACTGTGAACAGTTCTTTTCACTTTGCTTACGCCTTCCTTACAAACAAGCAATCGAGAATGAAGTTTTACAAAAAGTATGGAATTCTTAAATAATATCAGCCTAGCTACTTCGACAGAGTAATCTCTGACTGCAGACACGCTGCCACTCTTGTTTGCAAGCGTGGCTTAATGAGATGGAGTGGACAAGTCGTTTGAGTGGGAAGGGACCCCTGAAGGTCACTTAGTCCAACTAGTCCAAAGAGCAGGGACACGTACAGCTAGATCAGCTTATTGAGAGGCTGCTGCCTTCCCTTCTCCGTGCTGCACAGCCCCAGCTCTCAGCCTGCCCTCATAAGGAGGTGCTCAATCCCTCAGATCATTTTGTGGCCCTTCAGGTCCACATCTCACCTGTACCGAAGACTCCACACCTGGATGCGGAGCTCCAAGTGAGACCTCACAGCGCAGGGGGACAGGATCACCTCCCCGACCTGCTGGCCGTGCTGTCTGTGACACAGCCCCGTTGGCTTTCGGGGCCGTGAGGGCACCCTGCTGGCTCACACCCAGCTGCCACCCCCACTTACATGGAGTCTGGGGGTTGCTACAACCCGGGTGCAAAACCTCGTGTTCGGATCTGATGAACCTCACGAGGTTCACCTGTGCCCACGGCTCGGGGTCTCTGGACGGCATTTCGCATTCAAGCAGCTGAGCTACAGCTCTGACCGCGCCATCAAGCGATTCATCACAGCTCCCTAAAGAGCAGTAACAGCAAAACCGCCGAGATCCAAGCAGCTTCTTCCTGGAATCTCTCCCATTTTAGCACCAGCTGAACTTGCAAGTTTTCTCTATCAGATTTTACTTTCTCAAGCCGTAAAGAAGGAAGCCGCGCCCCAGGAGCGCAGGGCGGAGCTCCGTACGAAGCACAAAGGGCCGCAGCGAGGCGCCGAGGCCCTTCCTCGCTCCGTTTTCCCTCCTGCCGGTAGCGGCGATGCTACCGGCGCACAAAGCGCAACGTCAGCCGATCCCCGCCTCCCGCCACCCGCTTACACCTTACGGGGGAAGCCCCGCGAGGGCACGGAGCGGACACAGACCCGCGGCCGCTCCCTCCCGCGTCCCCCCGCCTCCCACTCACGCCTGACGAGCTCCTCCGCCGCGAAGCCGCCGTCGCAGCTGCTCAGCAGCGCGTACGGCCCCGCCGCCGCCATGGCGTCCGCCGCCCGCCGCGCCCCTTCCGCCCGCCGCTACCATCGCGCGGGGCGGGCGGGGACGCGGCGGGAACGGCGGCCGAGAGCCGCTGCGGGGCGGGCGGGGGCGCGGCGAGCGGAGAGCGGGTCGCCGCCAGGGGAAGGAGAGCGGGGCCGCGCTCGGGACCGACGGACCGACAGACAGACAGACCGACCTGCCCGCTTCTCCCTGCCCTCCCCCCGCGGTGAGGCGGGTGGTGCGGCCCGGACCGCGCGTCGCGTTGCCATGGGAGCGGGCGGCGGGCATGGCCGGCACTGCGGGGCGCGGAGAGCGGGCGGGAGCCGTGCTGCTGCTGCGGGTGGGTGCCGTGCCGTGCCGTGCCATTCCATTCCATGTTCTGCCGTGCCGTGCCGTGTTGCTGCGGATGGGTGCCGACCCATCGCCGTCCTGATGGTTACTGACGTTGATTAGTTGTTTCAATGATTTTATTATTATTATTATTATTATTATTCTCTTCTCTTCCTGATCAACGGCTTTAAATGTATTGGGGTTGTCTTTCTCTCTCACTTGGCAAAACACAGAGTTAAGGGTGTATTTCTTTGCTGCGTTTAGGAGGCGCTGCTTTGGGTTGGACGCTGCTGGGTTTGGGGGTGGGAATGACCTCTGTCGTGACTTTGCTTCTTAGGTTCGAGAAGATCTGCACAAGCTTAAAGACAAGGTGAAAAATATCAGCTTGAAAGGGAATGTGGAAGCTGAGGATATCAGCGACCTGGAAACTGCAATTGAAAGGACTGAGTTTGGGCTGCGAGTAAGTAATAGAGGGCAGACCCAGAGGACAGCCCGCCTTCGAGATCAGCGATCAGAGCACGCAGCCGTGTGTGGGCTGTCCTGCAGTTCCTCGCTGGCCAGTGAGTGATAGGATTGATCACACGCTGTGGTTCAGTGCCGTGCCTTCCCTTTGTTGGAGTGCTCAGAATTGATTGCTTTTGCATTTCTTAGCTTTGGCCAAAATCTAATTGAGTCCAACAGAAGCACAAAGCCTATCAACTCTTTGGTCAAGGGAGGATCTAGTTTGTTAAGTTAATGCATCCTGCATACTTTTATAATTGTTTAAATCTTTTTCCCTTCTGGCAGAAACATGCCGAAAACTATTTAAGTGCTGTAAGCAGACAAGTGTTAACTATTTCTGCTACTGACAATGAAGAAGTACATTCCAAACAGCCCCCTGAATGGTAAGTGAAACATCATCTGCTACATGGTAGAGACAAACAGAAAAACTGCAGCATAAGAATCTTGTGAAGCAAATGGGAACGTTGGCCCAAGTTAGGTTACTTTGGGTCATTTACTATTTGAGTTACATTTTGTGTAAGTTAAATCAATACAAAAGTTAATGCTGTCTTAAGTAGCTGCAGCAACCTACAGTTAGCACTTGTGATTTTTTGCTTAACATAAGTTTAAACAAGAATGCAGTCTTTTAGATGCAGCCAGATGGGAGCAGCGTGCATTTAATAGGTGATATCAAGGTAGGTTTTACAAACCTCGCTGTTTTTTCTGTCTAACTCAGGGGCCTTCAATGTGGTGCTTCTGAGAACCAGCTGGTTTTACCACCGGTGCCCGTTGAGCCCATGACTGCCCAGGCCTGCAGCAGAGCAGCACTGTGCCTTTCTCCAGGCTCACAGGTCTGAAATCACACATCACTTGTTTCCCAGAGACTGCACTAAATGGGTGGACTGGCATCTCGTAGGTACCGGCTGATCCCATGGCCTTTTGTTCTGGCTCCACGTGAGTTCAGGGTTTGATAACACAGCATCTGGTGACTGAACTGTTACAGGCTGTCATAGAATGAGGGAGCTGAGAGGCAGGAGCCTTCTCCCTGCTTCTGGATAAAATCAAGGTTAGGAAGGACTTCAGTGTCATTGCGGTGCATCCATTTCCTGTGTATGCTGATAAAGAATCCTGAAACCAGATGTTTATTCTGTTGTAAGGTCCTGGTCCAGCAAATACCATATGCAGAGCTGCAATTCTGCAGGCAGTGCCTTTGAAATAAAAGAGATTGTGTCCTGGAATAGCATGAGTTTGTGTTATGTGAGACTAAAACTGGTTCTCTGGTTTGGCTTTGTGTAAGAGATCTGCAGAGCTGTGGGAACAGTTTTCTTTCTTATATGGGGCAGTCACCTCTGTGTTAAGTCCAGGTTTTCTCCTTGAAGTCCAACGTTTTACTGTCTTCCAAAACTGTAATCCTTGTAATTAATTTAAAGCCTTCTGAAAATGTTTGCATCTGAAGTACTTTTTATTTTTATTTCAAGGTCTGAGTTTGTCGGGTGAGTTTTCTGGTAGTTTCCTCAAATGCATTTTAAGAACAAATGCATGAAATTAATTGAGTAGAAAATACCCACTGTCACAACTTTGGGTTATTACAATTTAAATTCAAGGGAAGTTTGGTAAGTGGGAGCTTTAAGGAGAGGCATTCTGTTGTACTGTTACCAGGAGTGACATGGAATTGTATGGCCAGAAAGAGCAGCCTGGCACTCCTTTCTTTATAAAGGAAGTCTCACCATGAAGTAATATTTTAATATTACTTACTCTTGAAGTGATGAAAAAGTGCAGTTAGAGCTCTGGGTTTTATTTAATTTGCTCAAGTGTCTTTAGTCAGTAGAACTATAGAAATGAAATTCTGTGAGATCGTATTGAGAAAGTAGGAAATCTTTTTATATACATTTTATATCTTTGTATAAGACATTGCTGTTACTGTTTTGAAATTATTTTCATTTGTAATTGACAAAGAACATGAACTTTGATGTTTGTTGACTGACGTACTCCTGGCTTTCTCAGTTTTGAATGGAGAAGAATGGTGCTTGGTGGTGTTTTGAAAGCAGAGTGCAGTTTGCCAATATCCCAACCCTGTCCTGTATGAACACACTTATGTCTGAAACAAATCAACAGAGTCCAGCTACTCTGAACACTCCCCCTTGTTAATGGTTTTATAACTTCGTGTGCACCAGTGAGCTTAAATTACAGGGGAGCTCATGCTGTATGCTGCCCTGACTTTCTCTTTTCATTTCTATATCCAGTGCATCTGCTCAGAGATGCACACCCAGTGTCACACGAGCTACCCCTCATTTCCCATGATGAGGAAAGGGGCAAATGGTGCTGTTCTGCCAGCTGTTCCACATGTCTGCCATGCCAACATAAAAAGCTTACATTATTAAATAGTTGTGAAATCCAGCTGGGAAATTACCACCTGCAGTTCCTCACTTCCTGTCTCTGCCTCACTAGCAACTATGAACATTTTTGGGTTTTATTTAAGTGTACTTTTGTGTTTTTTCCACTCAGAATAAAAGCTCTGTGAACAAATAGTTCTCCATTTGCAGGCAGTATTTCTGGTTATGTAGGCTTGAAGAAATCAACTTCTTGACTCTCACAGGTTCTGAGAGAAGTGAATAATTCACACAGTGATATTTTTGTGCTTTGCAAGCTGTAGTAGGTCATGTGAGAGTAGAAATGGAGCTCAGGTTGTGTTTGTGGCAGTTAGGATAAAATAATGTTGGAGTCACATGAGCACAGATGCAATTTGCACACAGAATACTTGTCGTGAATGAAATAGCTTGCCCACAGGTGTCAGGATGGGCTTAAAATTATAGTTCAGTCACAAGGATGGTATTTCTGAGTCAGAGCAGGAGCAGGATGAGGCCGGGTGAACCTGGCTTACAGGGGAGCTGTGAAGCACTGTCCCTCCTGGTTTTGTTGCTCGTTATGTGTTGTAATTGGGTTTCTTCTGATGATGTTGATGCCTGAGAACCATAAAAGGTGTCTTTCTTCTGCAGTAATTATAAAGACTCCAAGTGAATATTCTCTCATCTCTAATAGAATTGAAGATGTAAATAAACACTGTTTCTAGAAGGCTCTAGAATATGGAAGTGCCACCAATAGACTTGAAAAGTGGTTTAGTTACTGTTAATACGTGTATTACATATTGTTTCAAAGATGAATGTAATGTAATTCATTCATAAGGAAGTTAGACTCTATCTGAAACCATGCACCACTTGTAACTGCAGAACAGAACTGAGTTTGACCTGGTGGCTTGCCACACAACTAAATGCCCTCAGCTCCGAAATGTTTTCTGTGTTGAAGTATAACAGGGTGCAAATCTTTAACTGTACTGATCACACCAGCTTGTTTTGTATATTCCTGTGTACACCGTGCTAATCACGAAGCACAATAATTCTCATTCTCCCAGAGCACTGTATCAGCATAATAGCGTGGTTTGCACTGCTGTTCTCATCTGTTTCATAAAACATGAAGATGGCTCAAGGTAGCTTAAATGTAAGACACTGGGGAAGGTAGACAGAAGGGCCCATGATACCATCCTGCAGCTGTAGAATTGCCCGTTGCCATACGCACCAGCCTATGAGTGACCTTTATTGGTGTGTTATTGTTGTTTTGAGTTTTGTTTTTTAAATTAAGCGTCTCCATTCTTGTTACGCTGAGTGGAATCTGCCACTCCAGTGCTGATCGCTGCGCTGTCTGACTGGGGACTTTGCATTGTGAATCATCTCCTGTTTTAATTGAGAAGATACTCAGATTTTCCCAACCCTTGTTTAATAGCACAAGCAGTTTCCTTTCCGTACAGTAGTGTTATAGTAATAAAATAAATACCACAAAATCACTGATGAGGTGCAAATTGAACTTTCTGTCTCTGTGCAGCCATGTGAGTAGAAGAGTAATTGGCTTGGATAATAACTTCTGTTCTTACAAATCCAGATCTGAAGGAGTGTCTCATTGATACATCTGCTTGTAATTACCATCAAAATAAAGGAATATATTGTGCAGATAAATAAATTCTCCAGGTTTTAGTGTTTACTCAAAGTAATGCAATTCCTTTGTAGTTCAAACATACCTCCAACAATTCTTGCACTTCTTATGGCATGTTTTGTTTGTCAGAAAATACAGTTTTCATAAATTCCTTTATTATGATTACACAACAGAAGTATCAGCAGAGACTTCTCACCTATAAATATCGTTAGTTGGATTTCACACAGTAAGAGGGCTTTTTGCATTCCCATATCCATGCCCTGGGAAACAAGCACAGCAGTGGCAGGGCTCCAGCTGCTCTCAATAACTGTGGCTGTGCTGACATGCCTGGTGCCCTGTTCCTCCCTGCCACCTCAGGACTCTTCCCTTGTTGGCACTGGTCAGTAAATAAACCCTGCTGGGTGCAGACACTGCTCAATAAGCAATAAAAGCGTTGGGAGGTATGACTGCAATTAGTACAGATGTAAATGAAAGCACGTGTTATCATGAACTGCATTGTTTTCACCTCAAGACACTTTTAGAGTAGAAAAGTATATGACAGCACCTCTGGCTTTTATAGGATATGTGCTTCAGGTCAGGACTGCGTGTTGGGTACGTCTCTGTGTATCTCTGGTTCGATGCACACTTTGCACACCCTTGAGTAGTTCACCAGGTTATTTGTAAGGCTGGGATGCAAAATCAATGAGAAAGGTAATCTGAGATTTACCTGAGACATCATTCAGGGAAAGAAATATCCATGTCAGCATAATATAAAACGTGACTCTAGCTCTTCCTCTCTAACAGGTTCATTTGTATTAATATTCATAATAGCAAGTTGGGATTTTTTTCTAAAAATGTTATTTGCTTTGTTCGAGTTTCCTAACTTGTAAGTATTAAATCATTTGTTATAGCACAGGTAAATGGAATCGAGAACTGACCCCTGTGAACCAAGTCAGTAAACAGGATTGTCTTTTGCACTTAAAACGTTACTCAAAGATGTGCAAATCTGGGACTTTCTGAACACTGCAATGAAATTAATAGAACAAATTTGGGATATGTGCAAATAGTGCTTTGATGCCTTCCTAGGTTGTTTGTCAAATCAACACGCACTTTTCCACCCAGCTCTGTGGAGGTAGTGAGATAACAGCTTTTTTTTAGTCATCGTTTTGCACACTTGTATCATTTTGTAACGTTAGTCAATCCCTGTTTGTGAATACTTATGCCCTATTGTTTTAAGACAATGCACATTCCGTGTTTCCATTATGTGTTTCAGAAGCAGCTAGAAATGGATATGAAGGTTATGCTTGACCCAGAAAACATCAATAAGAAAGCTGTTTTGAAACAACAGAGCTATGAGACCAGGCTGCCACGTATAACTAAGAAAAAGCCTGCTCCTGTAAGTAACTTTTCTTGTCCTGTGGACTTGCACACGTTGGCTGTTCACCAGTGAAGTTAATACAGATCAGATCTAACTAAAAAACTACATAACGTTGTAAGAGAAAGTACCTCATAGTTTTCTCTTTGTTGACATTCATACGTAACAAAGCACTCTGAGTGACAACACTGGGGAAAACAAACATGCAGCACAACAGTTATGGGTAGCAAAACCTTAGTCCAGCAGAAGTATAAATGTGTGTGGGAACGTGTGTGATGAGTAATCATGGTAAGATTAGGAAGAGAAACAAACGAGAGCTTGTGGATTTCAGGCTGTGACCCAGAGATCAAGGAAGGGTGGACTTTTGCTTGTTTATTCCATGGCTGTTTCTTTACAAGATATGGGTACATCCTGTTTTCAAATGCCAGTAGGATTGTTGTGAATGAGCCTAAAACACCTGTACTTTGCTTTGATGCTAGTTTCAATTAACTTTAATAAAGAAGGAATTCTGCTCTAGGGCTACAGCATCAGAAATCAGTGTCACTACAGCAGGAAAATAGAGATTACACTGAATCAGGATCCTTGAGCAAATTCATAAATGTAGCGTGCTCACAGATGAGCTATGAGGGATTCTGAAGCACGGTATTTCATTCAGCTCAGTAAAGCTGTTTCCCTTGGTACAGAACACCTCTCAAGGCCCCTAAGAGTCCCCTGACCGGTGAGCACATCATCACCCTTCTCTCTGCTCTTACATTGTTTAAGTTGTGCTACATTACGTTTTGATTCCTCCAGATTTCTGTTCTGCAACCGCTGCTCCTCTTAAATACCATAAGAAATCAGTTATGTTCTCAAATTTAGTGCAGCACTGTGGTCCACGTGAAAGAACATGCCCAACAGTCTTGTACAAGAGTGCTCTCCTAGAATTTACTTTTATAATGGAAGCATTATGCAGCAAGTCCAGTGCCATAAGATTCTAGAGTGTTTGGTTTTAGGTACCAGAAACAATCTGTGAATGGCACAGTTGTAAGCTGCCACTTATAAAAATGATTTTTGAAAGCCATTGCCCAGACTAAAGGGTGATTTTTCTAACCCTGTGATAGACAGTTAATTAGAGGAAAGCATCATGGCTAATAGCTTTTTAGAATCACTCTAAAACCCTCACAGAGAGGAATGTTATACTGCTGCTGAGTGCCATGTGTTTTACTGCTCTCACTGACACATATCCAAGAAAACTTCTTCATGTTGACTGAAATTACGAACAGTACAGATTAGTCAAACTCTCTGATACATATTTACAGTTGCTGTTTGTGATAGGGAGATTGGATGAAAAAAACAAGGTATTTCCTGTCTGTCATGAATTCTACAGCTTTCCTGAAGTTGGTGCTTTTAAATGTTTTTGTGTTGCATGACACAATGTTTGTTTTGAAATGTTCTGCCTTCACTGGGGGGTACAATTTTGCAATTAGATTCACAAAGTCTACTACCTAGATTGTGAAGAAAGGCATTTTGGTTAAGTGTGAGGTGTACAAGCACTCAGTGCAGCAATAGCTGGAGATCACCAATGGTAACTGAAATAAATCTGTGTGTAGTTGCAGGTCTAAAACTACATGGCCTTTAGTTTTGGGAAGCAAAAAAACAGCAAGAAGAATGAAGTTAGGTACTGCCTACCTTATTTTTGCTAATCAGCCATTAGAGGGCAATATTTGTACACACGCACACGGGATCACACACACGTGCAGACACGTGAGTGTACCCGTGTACCTGCTCTACGTATGCACATAAATTCAGTGATTATCTCCCCCCAAAAAATCAGTGGCAGAAGGACTCTCCCAGCGACGTGAGTGAGAAACTAATCACTTCATTAACTGCATTCACCTCTTTTTCCAAGAGTTCTCAGCATCTGAGTTTTCAAGGAGACCTGAGCATTTTTACACGCAGTGCAATGGCAGGCACGCAGCTTTGCTGTGACCGAATAGGTCCACATGAAGCACCCAGGTTTTTTTACTATCTTGCCGTTTGAGTAGCTTGAAAACTTATTTTCATTTTCAAACTTCTAAGATCTCATTTTTTTCATGAAAAATTTCTTTGTCTTTTGTTGTATGCTGATGTATTATGACAGAAGCTACAAGAGATTAACTGTGCCGTTACTGTTGCCCTTCTGTACTTTTTTGGATAGATGAGCACTAATGCTTCATCTTCTGTAGTCATCTTCAAATGAGCAATGTAATTCTGTTGGAAACACCATGGTCAGACTGGGCATCGCTTTATTTTGTAGACTATATATGGATAACAAATGAGAAAAGACAAGCAGACAATAATTAAGTACGTACTCTTCCCGTGAGGACCCAGCAAAACAAACAGTAATCTGAACTGCAGCAAAAATAATTCTGGCTAACTGCTGCAATGTAGAAAAGATTCACAACTATATGTTTCATTTCCATAGGACTGCTGTTCTTTTATAGAATTATACTGGCACTTCTTGGTCCCTGTTTTCATATAAATATATATTATGCTGTAAACTTAGGAACCTCTTAATTTATTCATGAGTTAGAATTTAATATGGTGATGATTTCTAGCCTTTATGAGTTGCATCTTACATAGTGTGGCTGTAATGGTGATGGCAGTGATTCTGTTTTGTTGGTTGTTGTTTTTTTAGCTAACTTATTTGAGTGCAATCACTAGTTATATCCTCAGTTCTTTGCACTGTGCTAATCACTAAGGCTTCTCACTGAGGGTCTGCTCATTTCCAGAGCTATAAATTAAGGCAGAGCATGGCATTTCTTTTCCTTTCAGATTATTGGAAGTTGTAGGACAAGAACAGGTCTTTGGTCCTCAAAATCGGATTGTTTTAAACTTGTGTATCTGGTGATAATTACAGTCAGAGCACGGTTTGTCATTGGTAGCAGAATGAGACCTAAACAAATCGATGCTACATGACAGTAATTCAAAATAAGCTTGTTGCATTTGTCTTATGGTATGTAATCATAATAAGCAGCACAGTGGATTAATAAAATCATCTTGTCACTAAAATTAAAAAGGAAATAATTGGTGAGATGGAGTTAACTTAACAGATGAGTAAAGTCAGAATCCTTTCAACCTAGAAATGGGAATGTGAAGGTCACCTCCATCTCAGATGACAAACGTAGAATGTTTTGTTGGTAAACAAATTAATCTTTTGAAAGGTCACCATTTGTTTTAAGGTTTTCTCCAGTTCTTGTCATCTGGAATTGGAGATTGACTGTCATTTTGCTAGGTAGGGGTGCAGCTGAAGCTGCTGAAGCTGCTTCTGTACATATCAGCATTCCTCAACTAAACTCAGTGCCTGATTGTGATGCTATGGGCTGCTGGTTTACAGCTGTCTCCGGACAAGAATGGAGGGCCACCCCTGAATTCCAATAAGATGGTCCTGCATATTCTGCCTGATGTAAACTGGCCCTTTGCCCGTAAGTAAAATGTATTGTAGTTCAAGCCAGCAATTATCTTTCTTACTTCCTTCTGTGCTGCTTCTGTTCCCTTTTTCAAAAAACAGATGTGAGATTCACCAAAGTTCTCCATCTATTCTCTCTTGCACCTGCTAAGGCAGGATTTTGATGGAGGTGTATTGCTGGGAGAGCTAGCAGGAGGCCATCAAAGGAGCAAAGCTTGATTTTTCCAATAAAGTGGAAAATTAATGATTCAGAGACATCTCTAATTAGTTTAAGAGCTTAAAGTAGGTAAGAATAATATGTAAAACCTGTTGCTGAAGACGCCCACTTACTGCATATTGAAGGTTATATGTTGGGCCTTCCATTTAAATTGGAGTTTATTCTATCTAGATAAACAAAATGTGAGAGAAATACTTATTGGTATCACAGTGTTGCATCTCGTGGAAACCGTATTAATGATTAGGCAGAAAGAACACAGGACTGCATAAACTGGAATGAGAAAGACAAACCTGGATTTTCTGTGTGATTTTCCCACTCAGAAATTTTCTTGAATAAGACAGCAAGCTTTAAGGATGGTTCATATTTTAGATTTTCTACAGAGCTGTTACAGATTTGACTTGTCTGGCATTAGAATGGCTCTGCTAACACTGGTGAGAACGCATCCTTTACTTACAATGAAGTCCTTTATTACCACTGGCTATTTCTGCACTGAATTCCATGTGCTGGTTCTTAGTCTCAGGGGACCAAAAGCAGGTCATTCGAAACCAGAATTAAGTAGTTTATTTATTTATTGTGTATTACTAAGATTATTTGGCTTGACCATCAGAATGAGGTGCTTATTTTCAGATATTTGTAATTAGCTCATTCAGTTGTTTAAGATTTTTCTTCCCAAGAATTGTGGTTAAAACAACAGGGTCAGAGTCCTTCAACATACCCACATCCATTTCTAAAGCTGGGCACTGTGTGCTTTTCCAGTCTTCTACCAGAGCTGCCATTCTACAAGAGATTAACCAGCAGTTCTGAGATTACTTTAGAGAGTTCTTTAAGTATCCTGGAGTGTATTTTATCAGGATCCACCAATGTGAAATCTTCTGAGCCTTATCTACCTGATCTGTTTGGTGCTTAGGGTAGCCTGAAACCTCTTCCCTTTTGCACTGGAATAAATGTGCCTTCTCCAAGCTTTTACCTGCCAGTTTTCTGAGCATATTGAAAACTGGCCTTACTGCCATTGATTTGATTTTACTATTTCATCCTTCTCATTGTGGGGATTATTAATTGTGTACATCAAATCTCAGTAGGATCTTAATCAAAAATACTAAGGCAGATGGCAATTTGGAGCAGACAATCATGAAATGATTGATTGTTGTTACATACCTTTTCCACCATTGCTATCAAGTTGAGGGGTTCTCTAATACTTACTTTAGAAAATCTCATTTATCTAATCTTCCTGGTTGATAAACTATAGTTTTGTATTTAATAATAGACTATATTCTTTTCTGGGGGAAAGACATGCATATATTTTCAAAAACAGTTGTTCTGGTTAAATACTGCTGTCTAGGTTAAAAAAGAAAAAAGAAAAGAAAAGAAAAAGAAAGAAAGAAAACAAATAGAGAACTAATCAGAAAATCCCTATGGTGTTACAACAAGTACCCCATTTAAAATAAAGCAAAAAGAAAAAATCGAGAGGGAGAGGTTTATCCACAGGAGAAAAACACTTTAGAAAGGGTAATAGAATTGTTTTTCTCATGTCCCAGGTTAATTACACTCAGAAGTGCTTGAAATGAAAACATAGTTTTTCAGCACACTCCAAGCATATTTTACAGTGTAAGCTTTACTCTGCAGTACAGATGAAGTGCTCCCTTCCAGCCCTATAAAACTGTACTTTAAAAGTATCCATGATGAACGGGCAGGCTTTGTGCTGACTTGAGAAAAAGATACTTGCTGAATCATAACCTTCATAACACATTTCTCTAGAAGATATTATTCACACGGGAAGACGTCTGAGATTCTGGTTGTCTCATAGCACCGTGAGTGCATTGCAGCTCTTCTGTGCTCAGGTTCTGATACACAGAAGCCAAGTGAGGTGCCTGCAGCTTAGGGTCCTGGGGGTGGGACCCTTTGTTCCAGGATATTTGGGGTCTACCCACACTGCAAACATCACAGTGCTATTTAGGAGCAGCCAGCTCTTGAATTTATTTCAGGTGAACCCTTCACGTCTCCATACATTTATCTTTGTCTCCATTTTCTAGTGTCAGTCTGACAAGAGCAAGCAATATCATTTTCTGCTGGTAATAATTCACTGTCTTTAAGTGAGAGTTCTCAGTGATGTTACTTACCTGTCTGGAAGTTACGTGTGCTGAAGCTCTGGCTCTCCTTCTCTTTAGGAGTTGGGAACAACTTGCAATCCAGGCAGAAAGTGAGGATACTAAAAATGTTGGAGAACAAGAAAAAAAGAAAGTGTGAGATGACAATGTAGAGTTTTTGTATTTGTAGTACTAAAGTGGCAATATGCTTTTTTCCCTGTGCAATGCTCGATATGCGTGCTAATGACTGCAACAGTAAGACACGTGGTATCACTGCCCCAAAGTGATGTGTGTCACTGCTTGGTTTCCTGGCACTTAGAACCAGCAGGTTCCATTTTTGCTGGCAAGCACAGGTTGTTTGGGGAAGTAAGGGAGCTTTAATTCCCACATTAGCACAGGCAGCATGGCACATGTTTCCGCATCACATTCTTAGGCTGTGTCATTCCCTGCTGTAGTTAAAGAACCTTGAAACTTCAGAACTCAGAGATACTTCTTGTTCCCTGCTTTCTCAAGAGTTTCACCTATTTGAATTCCATTAGTATTCATCCCAGTACAAATTTCTTTCCATATTTTAAAGTACTTCCTTTCCTTTCTGGTGTCATATTGGTATATGCATTTTGTATTGCAAAGACTGTTCTACCAGGAAACACAATGTATGCATTAAAGCTGAGAGAGCTTCTTGTGACCCCTTTTTGAACTAGTACGCTGATGTTAGCATAGCAGAAATCACACGACGGCAACTGGATTTAATTAACTTTATTTTAAATTGCTAAGGTAACGACAGAAAACATTACTGTAGCATAAGAAGTAAAAGCAGTGCTTGCACTGTTACATTATTAGATCTTATTCATAGCAGAAATTATATTTATTATTATGTTGAGTAGAAAAATGTCTTTGCAAATCCAGGACTTGGCTGAAAAAAGATTCTGTGTCTTCCCAGACACGTAGTCAGAAGGGAGTGAAGGGTCAAACCACCAGCCAGCTTGGGGTTTTGCCTGCCTCTCATCGTGTGGACTCTCCCTTACCCCTGTTAGAAGAAGATATGAAGAAAGGTGAGTCACAGAAGCCCACCTGGCACTGCTGCCAGGCACCAGCTGGATGCCACATAAGCCACGTGGTTTGCTGTTTGCAGCAGCTATCTGGCAATCAAATTTTCTGGCACCTCTAATCTTGTAAGAATTTTTTCAAAAGCATTGCAAAGGGTAGAGATTAACTTCAGACAACTCGCTCTGTGTGGTAGTTAAACTTAGCATGTAGCACACATTATGTTGAGAATCAGGAAGGCTGATGCTTACGTTGTAAGTCAGTTGACTTGCTGATAGAAAGAACTGCACATGATGGAGGATTCTTCTGTAACAAAATTAAATGATCAAGATAAACAGTTATGATTAATGTCTGGTTATTAATCATTTAATTTTCAGTAGACTTGCACTTGGATATTTTAGTAATCAGTCCACAGTCATAATTACATTGTGGCTTATAAAAGTTAATTCTCATTCATTCTGTGTATTAAATTGCCATTGTACAAGCACATAACTCTCAGAATCATCACTATAATATGTTTCATGTCTTTGTCAACTTTCATAGACAAAGCTTATGTTCCTTGAATGTCCTTATTAAAAAATTACCTACTGCCTTTGTACTTTTGGAATTCAACGAACTTGGCTGTGCCATTGTTTAATTCTTTATGGTTTCTAATTTTTTCTTTCATAACTGGAACATGTACGAATAGCTCAGTGATGTCATATTCTTGTAGATATTCTGAGCCTAACTGAACGAAGGCTTATCCCTCCAGCAGCAAAGGTAACTCTTCAGACACCTGTTGTATCCAAAGCAGCTCCTCTCCATGAATTCCACAGGCAGCACAAGAAGTCAGCTATAGGTGAGTACAGATGATTGATGACAACCAGCAGTTGCATCTCCAACTTTGCGTTCAGGCCCTTGTTTTGTCTCTGAAGGAAGCAGCTGTCTAATGAGCTCTCAGTCAAATTCTTAAAAATACCATTTGCATAAAGATGCACACGAGCATCCTGTGTCTTTCAATTGAATGGGAATCAGATTTCCTAAGCCCTGTGAAGATTTGGCCCCTGCTCATTTCTGAAAATCCTTGTAGGTTTTCTTACATTCATGTTTCAAATTCTAAGAACCTGAATCCAAGATCTGACCATCAGAGTTAAAGCCAACAATACTGTAAATCACTGTAAACATGCCTTACGGCATCTGAACAAGTCTCTATTTTGTCAGAATGGCTTCTCATACCGTGCTCTGGGTGATGGAATTCTGACCTATGTCCTCTGAACTGTTGTTGCTACTTGTTGCATATGACAAACCCATCAGTGATAAGAAAATGAGCATGAGCAAAATGAAGAGTGGGCTTAGAAGCCATCCCTATAAAGATGGAAGTTTTCCTAGTGAAAACAACTAGTTGAAAAACTAAAATTCCACATGGAGTAACATGGAGTGTAAGTGCTAGTATTTTGATGTTACGCTCCTGGGTATACTGCATACAGGCACATTAGGAGCCTTTATAAATTCAAACTGTGATATGTTTTCCTTAATATGATCTCAATTTTTGTAATGACAAAAATTTGTTTTAGCATGGTTAAGCTTAAGGCTAGCCAGTGACATTCCTAAATGGGTTTTGGTGGTATGTCCTGAATATTGCAACCCACTTGGATGTGGGAGCAAAGTAGAGCATGCCAGTACCTAATGGTGGAAAACCAATTTGATGCTATTGTTGCACTTATTTAGCAATGAAACCCATGATTATTTATGTATTTGGTACAGGAGAGATTAGTAGTAAGGTGGAACCTGTGAGTACAGACACTTCCACCTTTCCAAGCTCAATGGAAGCAACTGGCGGCTCATACTCCTCTGGCAAAGGTAATACTGCATCATTGCTACCCAGCTGCTCCCTGGATTCGACCAGAAAATCAAAGCCAATGCACTCATACCCGGCTCAGCAGCTTCAGTGTGAGCTGCAGGCTGCACAGACACAGGTATTTAGACAGTGAGGTAAATGAATTCTTTATCCGTGGTTGTGACATTGTCTTCAGCGGAGATGGTTTAGGAAGTGACTGTGAGTTGCTCAATTAGTACAGGAGGGTTTGAACCAGACCCAGTAAATAACAAATACTGAAGTGAGTAGGAAATGCTTCTTCTGTTGTCAGTTTTTACTTTCTCGAATTTGTGCATTTATTGAAATTTAGAAGATCAGTTTAGAAAAGATCTTATGAGGTTACCTGGACCTCCAGGCAGAGTTACCTATGCTTGTAACACTGCAGACAGATGTTCTCCTAACCTGTTCTGAAAACTTCCGGTGATAGCAGCTCCACAGTCTCCCTAGGCCATCTGTTCCAGTGCTTAACTAACTATCTTTACTGTTATAAAAGAGTTTTTTAATGTCTCGTCTAAATCTACCTCACTGCAGTTAAGCAAATGTAGTGTTACTCTTTATATTTACAGCAAACTATAGGGGAGTTTGACCTTGACTTCTTAATGTTCGCTGGCTGTTCTTGATTCCCATGCAAAAGAAATGTTTTTCTTTCTTTTTTTTCATTTTCTCTTTTTAAGCCTAATGATTGTGTTCCATAGCACTGTCTGGCATTTTTGACATTTGTTCTATTAAGGAGATCTTTATTTGCAAGCAAACTTGAGAAATGCAACTTAATGTTATTAATGTAAATAAAAAAATAATCTCTAAAAATACTTTGAAAATAGTGCATTAGATTGAAAATCTCAACTAATGAGTTTCTGGCTGAAGATGCTATAAAATACAGTTCTGTTAAGATGCAAGAACATCTCTGTCTCAAGTTTTACCCTGGCTGAATTCATAGGCTGGAATGTTACCCATTCTCCTGAGATAAGAGGAGGTAATCTGATTTACTGTTGAGAATTGCTACTACAATTACCATCCGATGTAGTCCAGTAAAGTGCTGCAGAGCTTCGTTTTTATATTTGATAAATGAAGCGTGGTTCCCATTTGCAATTAATGTATTTCAATAAAAATGCTGATACCCTTTCATGACACTTGAGGTCTTGGTGTGACGGTGGTTTTTATGGTAGATACGGGATAAACTTTGTGGCTGTGATGTATAAATCAATGTAAGGAGCGTTATTTCAGATGCATACGTTCCCACAGTCAAGTGATAAGTGGTAATGCAGTCGTGTGAGGTGACCACACGTTTGCAGTCGATGGCAGTTACTCTCAATCTGCGGCTTTTGTCTTTCTGCAGCTCCCACAAATGCCTCCCACGTCTCTCCTTACAGGATCCATCTCCTGACTGCAACATTGCTGTTTACCACGGCACTATAGACCAGACTGCTCCAGGCTTTCTGGCATTCAAACAACGTCATTGTTTGTCCTGGGGGAGCATTGTCTATTTTTTGGAACGCACGGAGAAGCTGCTCAAGGACTACGCCGTACCATTGGCTACAATAAGCTGTCAGAAGTTGGTGGAAGCAGCATCGGACTTTGTGCTTAACGAGAATCCCACCAAAAGTGACATACTGGCAGTGATAAAGAATCGATCGACTGTGGAAAAGATTTTAAATCGACCTGGCCAAAGATACAAAGGCCAAGGGGGTACTGAAATGGCGGCTATAAAGATCCAGGCAGCGTGGAGACGTTACCAGGCCAGGAGAGCCTACGTCCGGTTCAGGCGGCAGCAGTGGGCATCAGGTGTGATTGCCATTTCTTGGCTCCTGCACAATCACATGGCACGTGTGAAAAAGAGCCTGAAGGAATCACGTCAGAGACACCTGGAGAATTTTTACATCAGGGCCAAGGTGTGCGGTGCTACCAGCTGTTACGGCAGCTCTTCTTTTCTAAACATCTCTTGCTTCAGTGATCGCAATAAGCTGTTTCCATTTTTTTTCCCCTTTAACCATACACTTGTCCGAGCATCATATTTCATCCTTCATCAGCGATTCAGCCTTTGTGGCTGTAAAATCTGTTGCAGTGTTTCTATTGGAAATGTCCCTTCGCTTTGACTTCAGTGGTTCTGTCAGAAAATCAATGTTTTAACTGCATTACCTTAGCTCCCTATATATACCTTGTGGCACTTAATTTGCTGAAAAAAAATCCCTCTCTCGTCTACATTCCTGTCACCACTTTGTCAGAAAGTATTTAAGTTTGCAGACAGCCTCTTAATTAGTGCTCACAATTTCATTTATGTTTGCTTTCTTTTTTTTTTTTTTTTTCATTCATATTCTGTTAATTAAGTGAGCAGCCTCTAATCTTCCCCTGCCAGTAGCTTCATGTAGCCACCTAATTAAATTAATTGGGGAAGATGTTTTAAGTATGTAATTAAATCAATTAATATAATTTATGCCTGGCTTAACTGTACAGTGGAAAAACAGCTGAAGTTTGACTAGATGAATCCACTACAGCTTCCTGTCACTGATCAATGCTCTTCTTGATTTTTAGCATCTGGCAGCCAACTGGAATCGCATCAGGACCTCCAGGAGGACTATTATCCATATCCCATCATTAGGTATAACACTTTTGCCTGCAAATCTATCAGCAACCTCTATTACCCACCACATTATGACTCCTTGATTGAGTTCAAGGAAGGCCCCTTGTTTTATTCAAATTGGTCTCGGCAGGAAAATGTTCTCGACATGATGAGAGTAATAACACAGGGCCTTCGCTCGAAACGGCGTTTAATTTGGGGATTAAGCAAATAAAGTCATTATGTGGGGGCCTCTATTCAGCGGAGAGGTGATTTGCTGTAATTTGCTTTCATCTGTATGAAATGAACTAAAAAGTTGTATTTTTCCCCCTGAAATAACAGATAATGTTTCCAGTCTCCTTTAATGATAGGAAAACACGGGCCTGTGCGTGTTGTTGCTGTTGCAGCAATAAGCCAGGATATTGCTTGTACACTGTTTTTAATCAAATGTGCAGTCAAAATGATAAGCTACATTCTCTGAAATTATTTAGTTCTAATTACGAGCAGATGGGATGCTTTATTTGCACCTAGGGCGCCTGAGCAAAAGGAAATGCTGTGTGAACAAGAATAATTAAGAAGTTGAATAGTGTTTTTTGCGCTTAAATAATCTGCAGTTTCATGTTAATTAGCACTAATGTAATTATTTAATTACATTTATGAATTGGGGAGCTTAAAAGCTGTTTTCTGCTAAGCAATGGCAAAGTGTAGGTGTTTAGAAATTAAAGAATACGATTTCTTGGGAATTTCTACAATGCACCGATAATCTCTTAAAACACGGAATCGTGTCAAAATGCTTGTAATTTGATTTATAGTTTGTATTTACATTGCAAATTAATTGACCTGAGAGATTCAGGATTTCGTAAAGTGAATTGGTTACGGCTGGAATTAATGCAGACTGTAAATAAGTGTTAAGCTCTCGTTTTTTGGAGCCCAGGTAGCCTTTAATTCAGTGATTCTGCTGACTGCGTTTAACGTAAATATACATTTGATGAACAATTGTCTTTAATTACACCTTCGTCTTAAAGTCTCACGTGAGTATGCCAGGAAATGTCCGGGTCCTATCTCAGAGCGGGACCATTTAAAATTAATTTGTATATTCCAGTGCTCTGAACTGGGTAAAAACGTGAAGGAGTGCATTAATACAGGAAAAAGCAATTCTTAATTTAGGAGCCTGAATTCAGAAGTAGCAGAGTTGCTGCACAGCAGATGCTGTCAAAGTTATATTAAAAGAATCTCAGTATAATCAAAACAGGTTCAGCTGAAACGTGAATCAGAGCGTCCACGTTACACCAAACTGCATCAGCTAGTGGAATTAAGAAAGCTTTGGAATTATTTCAACCTCTTAAGTAAATTCTAGGGATGTGGGTAAAGCTCACTCCATTTAGCACAGCCATGACTCCATCATGTGCTCCGTGCTGCAGCCTGCTGTCAATGTGGGAGTTGCTGCAGTAGGGCACAAGTGGAACTTTCCCCTTAAGGAGAAACTCAGCAGCAAAGGTAACTCGAGTGCAGATGTTTTCTTAGAAAATTAGGAAACCTCTTTAAGGAAAGCGTGGAAAAATCAGGCTGCCCAATGGAGGGATTTGAAGGTATTGTTTGAAAAAGTGATTCATGCTTCTTTATGCTAAATTAATTGAGACATTTGTCGTTTCTTCAAAATCTGTAAAATTTTGAGCCCAGCTATCAGCATTGTCATTTGTTTTCTACTCTTTTCCAGTGATGTTTTTGCTCAGCCATATCTTGTCATGTTTGCTTGGAAGCAGAAGTGCCAAACACCCTCAGCAGCCATTCTTCTCTTTGCATTCCCACTCAGAAGGCTGCCTGGTAGGCTGCTGGGAATTGAAACAAGTAACGTTTGTTTCAGTTTAGGACAGAGTGGCAGTTCAGCAGGGCTTTCTCTGTTGTTGTTTTTAGCTTCTAATGCTGAATCTGAATAATCACAAAATGGTGTCTGAGTTACAGACAGACACCAAGAGGCACTGTTTGACCAAATGCTGTTGATGGTTTCTGTCTTCAACCTGGTAGACCAAAAAGAGCCCCAAGCTCTACACACGCCTCCCCAATTTTGGCGTTTGGGGCAAGTTAGAATCTGATCTTTTTTCTCATGCAAGTGGAATTCCAATAGACACAGATAGAGTCCTTACTGAATTTCTCAGCAGTTTGCATTTTAAGAACAGTGTCAGACTTCCACTTCTGGAAATAATCCAGGAACAGGGACAGCAAAGGGCTTAAATTATACTGCTGTGAGGAACAAATGTTTCCATTTATTTCGCCAAAACAAAAACTTCTGACTTGAGTACAGCTGAAAACAGAATATCAATTTCCTTGTGTAAAGATTGGTTAGCGCTCTTGTCAGCTAGCGTGATGAAAAATGAGCTGCAGGCTTCTAATCAGCTTTACTCCCACACTCTAACGGATGAATACACCTCTGCAATATTTGGGATTCAAATACTTTTTCCTCTTTTAACTATTTTTAAACGATTGATGGGTTTTCCTACCCAAATAGCAGCACCTTATACAGCCTGCAGTACGTGCAGCAGAGCTTGGTGATCCAGGAATTGTGCTTTTTAAAGCAGTTTCAGCTGAGCAGCAGGTGCCCTGAGCGTGGGGAGGAAAGTTAAATGCTATTTATTGCACCTGCTCTTGGAAGCACGTGGGGCTGAGCCCTGGGTCTCTCCTTTTCCTCCTTCCCCTTCAGCCATCACCCTGTGCTGCTTCACATTGTCCCCTCCTCCATGCTGCTCCTTCTCTTTTCAAAGGTGGAGTTTGAAAAGTGTTGTGGATCCTTTGCTAAGAAAGGCACTCAGAGACGAGTGAGATTTATCAAGAAAATGGCAGTTATGGGCGTGGGGTCATGGCTGGGGTTGGGAGGGGAGGTGAAAGCAGGCCCCTTGCCATTAATTCCCACACCCGTTCTTTTAGTACTTCTATAACTCTCCCTACAACTTAGCCCTGTGTAAATTGGGAGCAGCCACTGAAATCATCGCCCATACACTATCGTAAAACTCGTGCAGGGGAGGAAGGCCCTCCTTGTCCTTTTGGTGACACAAACTGAGAAATGAAAATTCGTGGTTCGTGCTTTGCGAGGCTGACCCTCCCCTGGTGGGGTGCCAAGGTGCTCTGATGCTTTGTGCAAAGCAGCATTGCCAGCTCACTCTAGAATGTTCATTCCTTATATTAATTGTCCTTGCAGTAAAAAACAGCATTACCACCTTCCAGAGTGAAAGCAATGAAATATTTGGCAAATTTTTGTCCAGCGAAGCTTTTTATGACTGATGGTGAGCAGATATGTAGCAGTGCTGTAAGGGTCTTGTTAAAGGATCAGGCAAACACTGAGCATTGAGCTGAATGTCCTTATTGATTTAATCACAGCTATTCCAACCGGCAACTCGTATTGCATGGCTGTGTGTTTGCATGTTCACACTGATTCATTTAGAATCAACTTAATTTTTAAATTACAGGATTAGAGATTATAGTCACAGTGGCCATGTCATTTGCAGCACTCCTTTTGAATGCAAATATGCAATCAGTTGGAAGTCTGACCTCCAGATAGGTAATCCTAGCTCAGACGGGCTGCCACTCATTCTTCCTCTGCAACAAAGTGATCAGGTAGCAGTGAGACACCTCCTTAATGAAGTGTTTTTGTTGCCTTTTATCTGTGTGAAGTACAAAGCGCACGGCTCTAGCAGGATTCTTGCTTAATGATGGTGTCATTTTTTTTTGTTTTCAGCATTTAAAAAACAATCCAACAGCACAGAAGACTTGAGCAAAATACTCAGATGTGGCTGCACGTTTAAATGATAAAGCTGTATAGGTCTGCAGCATTTAGCTATTCACTTCAAATCTCGTCACGTAAAAACACGGTGTTACATTGTGGAATCATGGAATCACCAAGGTTGGAAAAGACCTCCAAGATCATCCAGTCCAACCGTGATGTAATTTATGCAATACCATGTTTAAGATTTGAAATACTTACAGATTTTAAAATATAAATCTAAAGTAGCTGGTTTCTCCTAAATGGATGTCAGGGGTTTTTTGTGTATGTGTATTTTTTTTGGTATGTTCCAGTGGGGGTGACTTTGTGCTTGTTTTCCAGGATATTCCCAGAGCATCCGTGAACATATTCCTGATCTTGCTCTTCAACAGAACTTGCAGCTGGGAAGGCTGTGCGACATCCTGGGTACGTTAGGAGCTGCTGGCTGTGTGTGCTGTGATTATCTGCCCGTACTTGTGAGCAAAAGAATGTTGGGTGAGGAATTTCCTTTTGTATTAATACTAAATACAGAGAACATGCAAGCTCAGAAGCAACTGTGCTGTTTGCTCCTGTCCAAGTTATTCGTAAGAATACCATAGTGATTTTTCTGACTGTGACAAGGTAAAGCAACCTCATCCTACAAGGCACACTAAGCACCACAAACAATCAAAAGTGCTCAGTGTTCTACAAAATTAGGTAGCTAATCCTGCTAGAGTTCATTCAGGCTCATATGGAGAGAAAGATGTGCTAAAAAAGAGCAAGATCTTATTTAAACCAATTTATTTTTAATTAGCAAATGAGGCAGGGGACATACATTAAAAGTTTTTCCCTAGAACGACAGTCCTCTCTTAAGCAAAGCAAATGTAGAATATTATTTGTCAGTGACCAACTCCATTGGCTCCCTGGAATGACATACTTTACTTGATTCATATATATTTCAGTATCATTATTATTTTATAAATGCCATTTAATAAGTTTGTAACAAAAATATATTAGATCCAGAAATTTACAGTTGCCAAAAATAATAATGTAATTGCTTTTATATATTATCTAGACACTAATATTGTTTTTCCACAGTACAGCTTTATTTTTTCAATTTTTTAACATAGATTTTTTTTTTTTCCCTCTAAAATGATAGTTAGCAAGTTAGAGGTACAACGTAAACATGCTATACGGGCTGTCTTAACTAAAAATCTGCAAACAGGAAAATTGCTTCCATTGTAAAATGTAAGACAGACCACGAGTGAGATGTAAACTAGCTAATTATTAACTATCTCAGTGCTTTACCTGTGTCTAGCAAAAGAGCATTGACACGGTATTGTTGTTTTTTCTTTACAATACCAGAGGATCTCTGCTTGGTGTGACCTCTGTTAGCTAACCTGTCTCTGGAGCTCTACTGCATCCAAAGCAGGCTTGGATATCTCTTTATAGGGCAGCACAAAGAGTAGTAAAATGTGTTGCAGCATGTCATTCACCAAATTCAAAGTGAATAAGTGGGGTACCGTATTCCTTTACAACCTAAGGTTCAGAGTTTGCTTACTCCAACCCTTGCATTGCTCCTGGTTTGATGCCACGTGGTGGCAGTTGTCCCTGGCACTTTCAGGGCTCTTGTTTCTGTGCCCAGCAAAGACAATGGAAGAGTTCCTACTGATTTCAGCAGGAGTTGGATCAAAATCTAGGAGTGCTTTTTGGCAGTATATTCTATTAATTTTACAAGGCAATTAATCCATTAAGTCATCTATTAATATTTTAGAAGAGCATAGTAGTTAAAATTTTCCTCCACAATGGCATATGTTCGCGACTTTCTCTTTCTCACCCCTGAGTATCTGTGCAGTCGGTGTCTTACAGATCAGGTTGTTTTACATGCAGAAAAGCAGATTTTTGCACTGTGGTATTTAACTAGCTAATCAACACACTCACACGCTCAGCAATAGTTATTAATGGTATCCCACCGTGAGCTTTTGTGTGGACAGGACAAGAAAAGGAACAGGCCGTGCGTATGAAATTGTGATTTCATCAGCTTTCTAAACTTAATAGCTCAGTTTTATAATTTACTGAAGTTAATGGGATATATTTTTAAAGCGGTGCACAATTCCCATTGATGTTAATGTGAGCTGTGCAGATAAATCCCCCTGCCACTCTTTCAAAATTCTGCCCCCAATATGTTCTGCAGATTGAATTCTGGAAACTAGCTATTTCTTTGGGTTGCTGACCTGTCTTCAGAGAAATGCTGAAGCACAGAAAAAGCAGTTAAACCGCGAAGATTGGGGAATTAAAAATCTCGGGTTTATTTTCAGCGCTTTTTTAGCGAGGCTGTTTGTTAGCAAATGATCAGGAATCGTCAGATTGCAGTTCTGAATAGAGTCTACCTTTCTCCCAGTAATGAGCACTGTGCCCCTTTGTTTTAGATGCCAACGTGGACGTCATCTACATCTGCCCCCTTCGTCTGAGTGAGGAGTTACTGCAGTATTACAATAAACTCCTGGGTCTGCAGGCAGCTGTTAGATCTGGGAACCCTGAGGACATGAGTGACCTGCAGGACAGGTTCAAAATTCTCACCCCTGAAGCTATAAACAGCTTCCCTGTGAGTTTGTCTTCTAATTACTACAGCTTGAGGGATGCAGTAAAATTAAATTGGAAATTTTATAACTTGTAACGCTCTGGTACACATCAGTGAAATATTATTGCAAGTTTAAGGGCTTTACTGATTAGACTACTAGTTAGAGCACTGGAAATAAATATCCCGGTTTAGTTTATAGACTTAGTTGAGATCGTCCTATATCTGCTATTTGCAGACCACTGTCCATTCGTACCGTATGCTTGGGACTGTGAACTTGATAGATTTATATCTGTAAGCAGATCAGAGCAATAAACCATTCTTATTACTCAAACTTTATTCCTGGGTAGCCCAGCATCCAATCATTCATGTGCTAGTAACGTTTCTTGCAATTAAGTCCAGTTTAGAACTTTGGAAAGAACGGGATTTAGAATTGTTTAGATAATGCAGATATTACTTTCAAATCTGGCAAGCCATTTTTAAATTCATGTGCTGGGCCATGATAAAAAAAAAAAACAAAAAAAAAACAAGAACAGACCTAGCTACTGTGTGCTACATACAGCATTTCTGATGGCACTGCAGTGCAGTGATCCTCCACTACAGTGGAAAGGAATTTTATATTGTAAATATTAATTATACAGCATCCTTGCTAACATCTGATATCTATAAAATTCTGATACATGTATATCTCTCATATCTAAGCTCTAAGTCCTGTTTCAGATTTCAATATACATATACATATTAATAACCCTTTTCTAGTTATTTTGTTGAACAAATATTGGTTGTACCATATTTAGATTGAGATTAATCAGAACATAAATAAGCTACAGTGTAGTTCTGTAGTAGCATAACACGTGTATGTCTGAACCAACTTCTGTTGAAGTAGTTTGAAACCACCTTGGAAAAAAGTGCTTGTTACTTCCACAGCGTAGCAGGGGAGCGCTGAGTCAGAGCTGCTGGCTGGTTTTGCAGCAGTTAAAGGATGTTCTGTAGATACGAATGTGTTTTGTTTTCTCTGAAGCTGGAGGAAAGCATCAAGCTGCTCTTTGTGTTCTACGGAGCTGGGCTTTCCTTTGTACTCACCTGTCATCTGAATGCTGCTGTAATCTGCAGTCTGTAATGTGCTGGGCCAGAATTTGACCCTTCACCTTCAAAAAGTAATATTGTTTGGAAGGTAAATCCTTGATAAATACCAGTGGTATATTTTGTTCCCTTTCAATTGCACTTTGACTATTGTACCTTTCTTTTTTTTTTCCCCTCTGGACACCAGGCTATTTTTCCAGTACTAGTTACAAAATGCTGGAAACTTTAAAAAAAACCTTCAGTGTGAAACATGCTAAAAATATCATCTAAAGCACATCATATTATGGACAAACAATGTGCTGCTCAACACGGATGTGCTGACAGGAATGAAAAATGGGTTTAATGACCAATTTTGGTCACGGTGATTAGGTTGAAGCAGTTCCAATGTAAAAGCAGATCATTTTCAAGCATGCATCTCTTCTGTATAGCTATCGCTCTTCCAAATTTCTGCTGAAATATCCCAAACAAACTTATTTTCCAGATGAAGAGCAAACAACTCTGTTATTATGCAGCTATGATTTGCTGGGAAATGTTTACATGCTTTGATATAGCGAGCTAGCTATAGTTTCAAGGGCTGCGTGGTTCTTTCACAGATACAGATTGTGCTCCTCACCCAGTTACTGAATGCTGAGGAGTAAATTAGTGCCATCAATAACAACAGGCAGTTGCAGGTTGAGCTACACCTATGGCTGTTCAGCGTAGTACACCTCTTTATATGCAAAACCCTCAAACTACCTTATTTTCACCAAGCGTATGTTTCTTCCATCCCTTGCCTAATGTGTCCTAGAAATGTATTTCTGATGTGTGGAAGAATCCGTACGTGTAACTGCTGCTAGTCACCCACTGGTCTCAGTGACCTTGGTGTCTCCAGGAAGGAGACTGGGAGAAAGGGCTGTCCCTACACCTGCATCCTTGGGCAGATGCTAGCCATTAGACTGATCTCGTGGGACTCTGTGCAGCCAGGAGCAGCGTGATACGCTCTGCTGCTTCTCAGCTAGCAGCAAATTCAAAAGGGGGGAGTGGTGGTTTTGCCATCTTGGTGAAGCTGATGCCAAGTTCAGCTTCTCAGAGCTTGAGAAGTTTAAAACAAACCTCTTGGCTTGAGAACCAAGAGCTATGTTTTGCTTAACCCACTAACCATTGTTCCATGCAGCATTGTGCTGGAATTCTGGGCATTAGTCAGCTCTCCTGCTTTTACCTGCTTTTGCTCACACTGCCATGTATCATGGCAGCCATACTGCTCTCAAAACAGAAATGAACTAGGTTTTACAGCCTGCTTCCTGCACTCCTTAATTAACTGTAAAATCCATTATTGAGAGACACAAAGCAAATCTCGTCCCTACATCACTGCTTGTGCCCCAGGGAGCAAGTGACCGAGGATGGATATCGATCCTGTTCTCTGTGCGGCAGAACTGCCACCAGACCGACAGAAAGGGCCATCTCCATGCTTTTGTAGTGGTGCTTGAGAGAAAGGAAACTGAATCAGAGCATTAATGGTCTCTCTCCTTGCCCTTAGGCTTGTGACTCCCCTTTTCTTACTGGAGTTTTGGAAAGTCTCTCATTTCTGGAGATATATCCCAGCTCTCCTTGCAGTAGGTCTGGCGCCTTTACAGACAGACTTGGGCATTTCTTGGAGCTGTGCGTTTGGTACAAGAAAGTGCTGGGCAATTGTCAAAAGAGCTTTCCTCTTGTGCGTTTCCAAGGGCTCCCCTGTCTCCTTTCCCACCATCAGCCCCAGCCAAGTAGTGGAAGCAGTATTTCTTCCTAAGTCCATGTAAAAGAACAGCTGGCTCTTTGAAGGAACATAAGCTGGGTTTCTCAGGCCTGGCAATCCCTTGCAAGGCTGTTCTGACAAGGAACGCTTTCCTGACAAGGGCCTCATTTAGGTAAAATGTCAGTGTAAAAAAGTTTTTCTTTTTTCTTTTTTTTTAAATTCCTCCCCGAAAGTTGAAGCTCTTCTGCCTTTAAACAACAAAAAATACTTCTCTCACTTTGAGTGTGCTGCGGTTGCATTGACAGTAGCTATCAGAACTACTGTATAATGGGAACGTATATCCCCAGTAATTTAATGTGATCAGTGAAAGCTTTAGTAAATCAAAATGTTTTATTCTCAGAGAATTGCTTAAAATACGGCAGAACTGTATGGTGAAATACGTTCTCTGCTATAGGGGTTTTTCTTCATTTTTGTATTGATTTTTAGGCGCTTTAGAGTTAAACGATGCCAGCAGTGTTGCTGAGATGAATCACTATTATCCAAAGGCCACCAGCCTCTCTGCCGACTGACAGAAGGATAATTCCGCATGGATCAAATAAATACAGATGTGTAGTAATTAGTTCTATTCCCAGTGAGCCCATTTCCAACACACTAAAGATGTGCACGATTATGGAGCCTCACCCCAACAGCTTTTATCAATTTAAACTGCTAAGCTACAGGATAGGTCATAACCCAGCCTGCTATTAATAATGTATTTATTGTGTGTAACATTATAAATTAGGTCCATGGAATTGAAAAGAACACCTTTTAACAAGAATAATGTTATCTTTATACAGAAGCATCACATGTGCCTAGCCACTCAGCTGAAGTACAGTCCCAAGACAATCCAAAGAATAAAAATCCTTATCCAGAGTAGAGATGCCTACATTGTCGGAGGGGTTCCCCACAAAGATGATCTAGCAGTGGCTGACATGTTAAATGTGCCTATATTGGGCTCGGTGCCAGAAGTGGCTCATCTCTATAGTACCAAGTCTGGAAGTAAACGAATTTTTGCCAGTGCTTGTGTGCCAACCCCTCCTGGAGAATCTGACATCTACAGCCACGAACAGGTAAGCAGGACGTGCTCTGGGTTGTGTCACCGTGCAGGTGCCTATTTTCACTTGATAGGAGGCAAGCTTTGTACAATTGCCATGACTGTATTGATTAGAGCCTAAGTAGGTTTGATTAAATTGCGTATGAGATTGGGCTCTTTTTGGCCGTATCTAACCAAGTAAATGCAATTCACGTCCTAGTCAGGAAGCAGTACAATTGTTCTGATATCTTCACATTCTTTCTTGAGAATACATAAGGCCTTTTGGTTCAGTTGTTTCAAACAGCTTGTGTTGATGCTCCATGGAATAAGTTTGGCCCTAATGAAATTAATAGGAGTTTTACCAGTGACTGAAAATAGAACGGAGGCTTCTGGAAAACTAAGTATTTGATGAAGGGAAAATTTCTTCCACTTAAGAAGTCAGCCCATTCAATTTGGGTTTTACTGAGCATATCTGCAGCTAACGTTGATAGGTTCAACTGTCCTGCCAGCATAACAAGAAAGAGAACAAAATGCAAACTGAAATTACGAAGCACGAGAGTTTTCTGTAGTGTGTTCAGTTGACACTGAACATTCATAATTAGTAATTATGTATTTAAGTATGATTGGTAATGATTCTATTTAAAACGTTTTTGTTGTGTTGATAGAACCCAGGGAAATAATCAGTAGATATTCTTACTGCTTCGAGAGGTTTTTCACATTCCTTTGCTTTTTATTAATCACCTTTAACACTGAAAACTGCCTAAGCTACTTGAATACATCACAGCTTTTATAGTAGATGAAATAAATATATGATCAATGATCTGTAAAACGACTGTTTGATTTATTGTTAAATAACTAACTTACATGAATCTAATACTTTTGATTCATAGCACAGTGTTATGGAAGTTCTGCAGCTGTTTGCTTGTATGAAATATTGATATTTTAGGTTAAATAATCAAAGCCAGGTGACACTATGCTAAAACACAATTCAATTTTCACTTAAAGATAGCACATAATTCTTTATGATTGCTACAGTCCTTACAGTATTATTGATCCTTTTCATTACTGTAGGGGAGTCATCAAGAAAAACACATTTACGGGATTCTCAAAAGCCACAAATAATGGCACCTGAAACACACATGTAATTGTATTTGAGCTCACTGAAAACTAACATACAAAAAAAACCTCAAAACCCAAACACACAACAGAAGGCCCCAAAATTGCTATGAAAAATACCTTCTAGCCAATCAAAAAGATCTGGTAATACTCTTACCGGGTTCAAAGGCATCTGCCATTTCAAAGGAGCTACTTGCATCCTACACCAGCTGGGCAGAAGGCATTTTAAAGCCATTTAAATCTGTGTATATATACAAATAAATAATTAGCATTTTAATAAAGCCTGCCTTGTAGCTGCTTCATATATTTATAGCCATATAATGAACTCTCCAGCAGGAAAATTTCACAGATGTTCGGCTGGTGTTGGAATCTGGCACAACTGTTTCTCTGATTCTGCAAACAGTGCAGCCCGCTCCATGCTATTCCCTGCCAGAGACATTTCTTGAGGTTCTGATGTGACAAAACAGCCTCGACAGGCAGATCTCTCTGCAGAATACCTCTCTCCATGAACTACAGGAGGTGCTCTGTTGCTGGCAGGTACTCTGCCCAAGTGGGCTCAATACAGCACGAAGACCATAAATTCTTAATCAAAGAAGAATTCAGCTTTTGCTAAGTATCTGAAATAACAGCAATCCGAGTAGCTCTAAAAAACAGAAACCATAGCTAGGAAATACATCTCCAAATGTTTGGGAACGGGGAGTCTAAAGCAAGACCAGTGTGATATTGTCACAGTACAAAAGCTCTTCGTGTCGTTGTGTGCTCCACAGCTGGTCAGTGCTCTCAGCCAGCTGATTGTGGACAACATGGAAGTGCAGCGCTGGCTGTTTAAAATGAATGACGAATCTGGAGGGAACGGCACTGCCTTCTGTGATATTATCTTGCATTTGGAGTGCTACCACTGGGTTCTAAAGGAACGTCAGAAGCACAGCCCTGAGACATGGAGTAAGAAGTGGGCACACGTAAGTAAGAAAGGAATCTTGATTGGTGTCCCGGCTTCTTAATAGCCTGCTGGGGTTGTTCCTCACCATAACTCTTTAGTCTAAGACATGATGCTTGCAAGAGCTGATGCTGCAGAGTTCGGAGTAGATTGTACAAACTAGTAGGCACCAGTAATTCAAATTAAAGCAAAGATATAGCCCCAAATATAAGCAAATGTCTGAAATCCAACTGTGGAAATGAGTTCAGTACAAAGCATTTAGTTTCTATAGGTGGTGAAGCCTTACAGCTACATAGGTAGATTGGAATTATTGGAACAGAAGCATTGAATGAATATGGTGAACAGCACTAGTCACTTTGAAACTACAAAGTGGTAACTCTTATTCTGTTTTGCTACGAATTATTACTTCTGTACATCTTTCCTCACTGATAACTTTTAAACCCGTTAGCAATTTTCATCTGTATAAAACAGAACACTCAAGGTATCAGAGCACATTAGGCTCCTGCATGTTTCATTACAGCAGGCGTTCAGGTAAGGAGAGGGAGTGTATAAATACTTCACAGGGAAGCAGTATGGCATGAGCTCATGAACTACGAGATGGGTAAGAACCCACGTGCTGGAGAGAGGTTGTAAGATGGTGCATCTCAACCACAGAAAAATTGATCTGAAATTAGAGTTCATTAGTTCTGGTATTCGGAGAACTATTTGTACTTTAAATATTCATTGGTATTTAAACGTGTTAATTTCAGTAAGCATTTAATATTTCTGTATGCAGTGCCAGATTCATTCCTCACGTAATGGTTTTAAAGCCAGAAGGAATGTGTACAGAAAGAATTGTTTAATTTACATAAACTACTCATTACAGCTCTCTTGATCTTTTTTTTTTTAATTCAATCAAAACTGTTTTGAAATTTTTGATTGAATTATATTGTATATTAAAATTTCAAATTGGGCTGCTTACAGTTCTGTTGCATTTGACAGCGACCGAATAATTCCACATAACAAAACAGAGCTTATCATGTAAAACTGAAGCGCTCATTTCTCCTAAGTGCTGAGGATCCCTCACTCTGCACAAGGCAGGCAATACAAAGCAGAGCCCTGGAGAGCTGCTCTGGTGGAAGAACAGTATGGCACTGAGCAATCTGGAACATGAAGCTACCAGATCATGGCCTCATCCTGCTCCCACCGTCACAACTGGAGGGAGAAGACACGATGAAATGCAGTTTCACAAAGCCTGGTTCTTTGCAGATATAAATTCCCTTTGCAAGCGTTATTACCTAGAGTTATATTAGTGTTCCTAATTCTTCCGTGGCTAAGTGACTCCGAATAAAGGGACGTAGTGATAGCCAGCCTTCTCTGCTTTCTCTTTCATACTCTGTTTATGTTAGGATTTGATGCGGCCGGGAGCCAATCCTTCAGAAGCCCTTAAACATAATAATTTGTCATATGTTGGAAACTATATATGGAATGATGCATTTGATTTAATTTTCTAGTGTCAGCTTCCATACGTCCAGACCAGTTTTCAAGTGAGTTTTGGCAGAGTGAAACTTGCTGCAATTTTCAGTGTCTTGTACGTTCAAGTGTTTCTGCCTTCTGAGATTAGCCCTCTTTTCTAACATGGGAAACCTTTCTCATATATAATGAATTGCAGTCTCCACTGAGTATTGCCATTGAGAGCAGAGGATTAAAATCATCCTTTGTTAAGGAATACCATTGTAATGATACACGTTTAAACATCAAAGCGTTAGTTTATGAGCACAGGCATCCTTTAACGTCCTATTACAGTATGTATTCTTGCTTCTTTGGATAATGAAGACATTGTGTCATCGGCATAGGCTGCCACATACAAAACATATGCTGGCAGGTTATTAAAAAATTCAGCTTTTTGATGAAAGACTATCCTGCAGGCTAAGAGTACAGTGAAAAGACTCTCCGTTCTGGTAGAATTATTAGAAATGAGGATATGACTGTAAGCACTAAATTATGTTAATACTTACAAATAGCATCATTTGCATAGCAGTTTAAGACACGATACCCAAATTTTCCTCATTGGTATGTCGTAGGCAAGGTATTAAAAAATAATGTAGTTTTTGAGTTTGAATTGTGTAAAAATCGATTCCATCTGAAAATGAGACTGATTTTAGGTTCCTCATTTCAAATACAGCACTGGGCAAGCAAAAATGCAGGGCAAGATTATTGATGTATTTTACCTTGTTAACGTATTGCAACAGCTGAGTTATCCGAGCGATTAATTATTTTGCAGCTGCATAAGGAATAGAACTCACAAACTATGCTGAACATCTCTGTAAGGCCTTCATCTTTCTGAAGGCTGGCATAAGTCTGCCAGCTGATCAAAAATGTCATCCTGAGGCCCAGATTTGAACTGTATTCAATATCAAGAGAACTGCTGTCACCATGTATGCTCATTTGGCAGTTGGGGGCCATTTCAAAAGGTATTTGTCAGTGTGAAAATCAGAATCTGACCCCAGTTACAACCAAAAAAGGTCAGAAAGTACTGAGAAACCTCATCTGTTTGAGTGTATCTTGCAATGTGAACAATTATTGGAGAAGGCAAATAAATTCAGTTTTGTAACCATTTAATAAATGCATACATGATATCTGTGCTGTAGATGCTCTTATGCCATTATGTCATGATTTTCCAACCTATTTTCTGTACCAATTCAAGCTTCAGTTAGTCCATTCATAGCAGAAATAGTGGTTCTGCTACTAGTAGCGTAATGAAAATGCAGTAGAGAAGGTATTTAGGACAATTGGATGAGGGCATTTGAAATATCTACAGGAAGATAACCCTAATGCTCACTAGAAGATAGTATTCCGAAGCATGCTACAAAGCCAGGAACATTTTCTTTAAAGTTAACATTTTTTCAGGATTTGGGGAAAATCTCACCTATGTTTATATGGATCCTTGCTGAGAGACTGTATAAATTATTGAAAGAGAAAACTACTGGTTATTAAAATTGCTGACTGTACCTGACTTAGAGGGGTTCTGAACTGTGAGTTGTTGGATGGTGGGAGTAGGAGAGTATATGGGTAATGAATATGCTGTTTTGCTTTTATGCTGTTACCTGGGCACCCACCTGTGGCCGCTGGCAGAGGTAAGGTTCGAGGCTAAGCTGACCTCACACAGCCTAACTCATAATTTACAACGTGTGTTATTAGAGGTGTTTGTCTTGTTTTGGAATAGACAGCAGGCTGTCGAAGTCTGCAGTGCCTCCTAACTCAACCTCAGTCACTTGCAGTCCGCTTGCCTTTTGGATGCAGGGTGACATTGCCTTCCTGTTAACACCACCTCTTCTGTTCTTCCAACAAGATTAGATCAATAGTCAAATTAATTTCAGAATTAACTTTGATTACTCTGCATCTCCTATTTAACCACCATCAGCAACGTGCTGTGAGTTTACCTGGCAGCAACCCTAAGGTAAGTAAAATCAGACTGAAAAAAAAGGAGAGATGTGTGGGGATAAGTGGAGAAGAGCTGAAGTACAAAAATAGAACACAAAACCAGGCAACAAATATCTCTTGAATGAGCCATTGTAATTGGCCGTAGCTACGCAGCCATTTCAAAAGTCTCCATTAAGTATCTGTTGTAGAAGAGGAAAAGCTATTTAATGTGCTTGGGCAGCCTCCTGTTTTAAATGTTCGAGTGTTTGAATCTCGTTGTCTCCATTTGTGTCACCCTATTTTGTCACGGTTTCTTTTCCCTATAGACCGTATCTTGGTTAATTCACTAAAATGCATAATAGAAAATCAAACTCTTTTCAAAAGGCAGTAAATTTAGAAAATCCAACTTTTGATCTCAGTTGCATGAAGCGCTATTCAGATGCTGGTGGATTGCTTCTGAAAAATTACAGTTTCAAAGGCCAAGCTAACATGCTATGAAATTATGGGCTTTTCTTCAAATTTAAGTGGTTTTGGTCAACATTCAAATGCCCTGTAACAAGTAATTAGATAAACTTTGCAGTTGCCTGGAAGTCAGGATGAAGAAGCTTTTAGCTGGTTGAATGAGCTGCATTCATTGTAAGAAACCTGAAGCTTATGTACCGTATTTTCTTTCTTTACTGAAGGAAGAATTCAGAGTAAAGAGTGTGCTTATAGGCAGCTCAAAATAAAACCACCCATAGTATTGTCAAAGAGACACAGAAACATGGCACCATCGGCACACTGATTTCTGACTGGTTTTGAACCATGTGGAGAAGAGGGGCTCTGAAGCAAGGCTCTGCCATGCTGCCCTTGTTTACACACAGTTGTAGGTGTGCAGATCTTTCCAGCCTGAAGAGGGCCAGGATCTGTGGCAGAAACACAGAAGATGCATTTGCAGATTTCTGACGAGCTTTTAAAATTTCTTCTGTCTAATATGATATTTAGTAGAAAAAGAGAAAGATTCCCTAAGACTTCAAGGAGAACTTCATTGTTGGTGAAACTTAACAGTTGCAGGTTGTTTCCTGCTATGGATAGTGCTCTGTCAGCAATGTATCCTGAATCGTTTGCAGATAGTGAATATTTAAGCTATCTGCAGTGCTCTTCTTACTCAGTGTATTAGTATCTCTGTGTAGCTGCCGAAGCGATGTTTTGGGTGATTCCTAAATCCTAAGCAAACCAAGACCTGACAATTGTAGTCCTTGCTTAAATGGAACCCACGACATCCATTCCTGCGAGTGGGAATAATCAGATATGCAAGCTGTTGGTGTGTATGTCCTATTGATTTAATATGCTTCTAATCAGTACATAAAGCTATAGGCCTGCAGTGTTAATTTTTCATATGCTTACAAAGTACCCTTTGATTTTCTGTCACGCGTTAATTACAGCGTTTTGCCATTAAATAGGAAGCTTTGTGTAAACTAATTACTAGGTAATCATTGTCTACCGCAAGCGTGCTGTTTGTACCTTTTATTTTATTCTAAAAATGCACAGATCTCGCAGTCTGGAACCACTATACCTTCCAGCCATTAGCTCTCACTAATTCATAGCATTATTGTGTTAAGATTGTAGGAGTTGTAATTG